TTTGGTTACTAGTTCCAGGTATTCCAAGGTGGCAATAAGTAAATAGTGGTCAGAAAGATCTGTTGGAGTAGAAGATAATCCGATTGTTTGCGTAGCTAATTCAGTGGAGCAGTATATATGATCGATTCTACTTGGGTTGCAGCTATTTCTATGGAAGGTAGGGAGTCTTGTGTTAGCATTATCATAGCAGATATCTCCAATATTGAATAGGTTATAATTTGCCAGGTTTCGAAAAAATTGATTAGAATGTTTAGGATTGATGTGTCTTCTAGGTTTAGCGTTAAGATCGCCAACAAAGATCACCTGCATAGCTGCATAGAAAGCTCAGCTGCTTGACTAAAAAGAAAGGATAATTTTGAATATAATTTTTTTCGAAGAATATTGTCTGAGAGGGTAATATACGAATTGATAATACGAATACAATATTTATTTTGAAGTTGGATATCTGTATAGATGATTCTTCCCCAAAAACTACCGTGGTTAAAGATGTGATCAGCTATATATTTTTTAAATATTAATGCGACTCTGGTGTTATATTCGTTAGAATCTAATTGGGTATTTGTTAAGATAGTATAAGATTTGTCTAAGGTGAGTTTGAGAGCGCGAACTGTTGAATATGTTAGTTTAATGTCTTGTAATGCAATAATATTAGCATTGTATTGTTCATATAGATTCATTAATAATTGTTGCTTGACAGTGTCTTTAAATGAGAGAATGCTGTGAGTGATAATGTTAAGGGTATGTAAAGAGTTTGGTCGATTAGGTACTATGTTAAAAAAATCAATTATTGTATTATTCATAATTAAAATTGGGATTATTGGGGTGGGGATTCCTCTTCTACATCATAAAAATCTTTAGGTTTTTCTAACATGGCGACCGGAATACAATGACTGTCATGTAGTTGTCCTGCATTGATCATTAGGTGTTGTATTATGTCTACCACTTTAAAGGCTTCATTCAGTTTATTGACATTTGCTTGCAGGTTGCGTTTAAGGTGTAGATTTTTATCTTGGAGGGTTTTAATATCGATTTTTTAGGCAGTGATTACAGATTCAGATATATCTATACCAGGTCATACAATGTATTCTTCTTCTTCCATATTTTCACCCGTAGGTTGAGTATTGATGATGGCAGCTTGTTTTGGAGAAGTCGAATATATTTTAAGAAGGGATTCCATAGTAGAAACTCTTTCATTGGTGAATTGTAGATCTTCATGGAGACGACCTAATTGTATTGAGACTGCGTCTAGTTTAGTCATTAGAAGGACCATTCTATCAGGTTGTTCGTGGTCATTGATATCGTTAATGGGTTTAACGTAACCTTTAGAATTTGGGTGGAGGTATTCTGATTCATCTGCCCAATCGTTCATTGTATGAATGCTTGCGTTGAGAGAATTTTCCCATTGTGTCTACTATTATTGATAGAAAGACGTGGCAAAATCTTTTTTGGTTGTGGTTGGGGGGTATCTGGTACTTTTCCCTTTCCGTTATTAGTCATGTGAGCGAACGAGATCGACTTTAAAATGGGTTTGCTAGGCGCAGTATAGTTCTTGAATTGTGCCGGTTGATATCTTTGATAGAGATTTTGCATTTGTCTATCTTTGGGTGTTTGCCTTGCTTTCCGACAGTTATCCGACCGATGTCCTGGTACTGAACATAAAAAGCAAAGTTTGCTAGCTGGTTCTGTCCAAATTAGCCTCTTACAATCCAAAAAGATGGTATCTCCATTCAGTGTTGCTTGGCGGTCTTCATCATTCTTGAAGTAAAAAACTGCATATTGCAGATTACGGTAAGTAGCTTTAGATTTTGGTATAACAAATGCTGTAGTGTTTACGGCTTTGCCAATAGGGATCAATTGTCTTCCATTCGTGTTTTTGGGGAGGTTAGTAAGTTTGAATGAAAATTTTGATTTTTCTCTAATGGCCATATTTTCGAGGGTGCAACGATGTACTCTAACCATATCTTTGAGCACAAAATATCTGTGCACTTGGTCTAATTGTGACATATCGTACCTTCTTCGAATGTGAGTGTGGCTTGTTGCCATAAATTTTTTGTGGTCATAGTATAACGTGTAATCTTCCCAAAAAAGGAGAATAACGATCTGATATTTTGGGCTGGTGTGGATATTGGAATCTCCGTAATTTTGATTGATAATTCAGGGTGAATTTGGCTGATTTTTCAATGACTAATGATTGGAAAGTCTCATTGCCTAATTGAGTAATTTGCATTATGATAGCACGGTCGAAGTCAGCACAAGTTGAGAATCCGATTCTAATAATTTTCATCTGTTTGTTGTCTGGGTGTGATCTAACCGATGCACCAATGAACGAAGGTAGATGCAGTCCATTGAAAATTTCATTGGTCAGATTGATTTTTTCTTTGTTTGTGTGTTCGGAAAAAAATTTTTCGCTAGCGCAATAGGCAAAGAAAAGGGAAGAGTCGTCTTCACGGGTAAAGTTGATAATATTAGTATGGCCGTTAGTTCTAAGCAAGTTTTCTGTAGTGTCGAAGCTTTCATCTTCACCATAATTTTTGACTGGTAGTATAGGAACTTCAGGTTGTTTGTCTTTGTCGTTAGAAGTTGAAGGAACTGGGTCGACCTCCATTTCAGTTTCTTTCAGTGTATCTTTTTCGGTTTTGTTGTAATTGATAGGTGTAGAGAAATCTGAGGTATCAAGTTGTTGTTTCTTAATTGTTCTTACATTTGTTGGCAAACCAGAACGGCCACGTTGAGCTTTTTTGCTTGGGTTATTGTTAAAACTTTTTGGTGTTTTTCGTTGCTGAGGCATAGTCGGGTTGAACCTGATTTGTTTTTTTTTTTTTTTTTTTTTTTTTAAAATGTGCGGTAGTATCGCAAAATCTTTATTGAAATGATAAATTTATACAGAAGTACAAAACAAATACATAGAAAAAATGAAAATTTCTATCTAATTACTAAGAACTAGATCAAAACCGACCTTGCACATTCCTAGACTAATTACCTGCAGCACAAATAATCTTGACAGTCCGGGTGGAG